AAAAGAACTTAAATTATTATAAATACCCCATTTGGTTCTCTAATACCCGTTAGGGATGCAGAAGTACCACCCTTGACCATTCTCGGCAATAAATGGTCCCCTTTCTATGATGCTGTGGTTGACTCCTGGCTGCCTTCTTATCAGTAAATCACTTAGCTGTATTGATGAAGGTGGCTCATCATTACCTCTTTGAAGGCAATTAGGAACAGACAGTAAATTACCAGCAACATGCATGCCCCTCAAATGGACTTTAAATAATGTTATAATTTGTGCATATTATATAGAGGGACTGCATTGGCAACACAGAAGACCCTTAAGCCAACTAGTATAAGCCTGAATCACCACTGCTGAATAAAATCAAAGTTGCTGGAAAAGTTCAGCAGGTCTGGCAGCATCTGTGAAGGAGCAAATAGAGTTAACGTTTCGGGTCTAGTGATCCTTCCTCGGTTCTTTGTTTTTGTTGCTAATTTGCAGCATTGACAGTTCTTTTGGTTTTTATTCACCACTGCTGAAGCCTGCTATGTGTTTTCGTAGTTTGGCTTCCCAATTGCCTGCCTACAGATTTGAAGTTGAAATGGCATATTTGAAAGTCCTGAGTTCCTTTGAAATATTGAGGTTCGTAGTTTTCTCTTCTTCATGTGAATTCCATACAGGCAAACACATTTGCAGAAAGAGAGTTGAATTCCCACAGCTCAGTAGTTGGAAGTGTGGGAAAATGAGAGCCCTTTACATTACATTACTGATTCTGTTTATTTTTAAATAAAGTATAATACGGATTCCACACCACCAACACATTGATGTGATTCATTTGGACTGATCCGCATTATTAAAATAGCTAGTGTATTCCATAAATATTGAGTGTGTTTCAGTTTACATGTTACTGTGCAGGTAAAAGGACACATGCTGTTACAGTTCATATATTAATGATATTGAATCACAGATGAAAGCTAGTTTAGCATTTATGAAACCTGTCTTTGAATAACATCTGACAGTAACATAAACATTACGCCTAAGTGTTGGTTCTGGATTGTTAACAAATTTTATAATATTGGATCTATAGCATGTGTGAAGGGAAAAATGGCTATTGAAATGGTTAAAAGATCTAATTAAATTGGAATCAGAGATTGTAACATCTTGAAATGTGAACCTTGAATAATGTATAAGTGTCACCTTAAACCCTGAGATTACAGCCTGGAATTTTTTTTTTGTTGGTATAAATTAAATGTCATCCACAATCAAACAAGGCTGGAAGGCAGCATAACATCTGTGTTGGCTCAGGTTGCTAAGCATTGTTGCATCGAAACCATTAAGTATACTGCTTGCTGTGATTGATGGCTAAATAGTTGGTACGTCAAAATCTCAACTCTGACCTAGGCCACATGGTGTGAACATGGTACGTGAGTAGTTTTTGGAAGACTATGCACCTCATATTTTAACTGCCGGGACTCCAGCAGCAGCCTACCTGCCTTGGCCATCTGACACCTAATGGAACTGAGAAAGTCATGAGCTGATAATGGCATTGGTGTCACTTTATAACTCTTAGGATTGGGAAGATTGCACATTGCCAGCCAAACCTGGCATCAAAAACTAGGAGCAACCATCGTTGGGTCAGCAGGTTGAAGAGATGCAGAAGATTTCTTTTAATCCAATCTCGTCCCTAGTCTCTGATTTGTCTCCTCTCATATATCAAACATACTTATTGGTGTAGGGATTTCATAATCGCAGTTAGAATCAAATACCCTAAGATTATGCTGGGCTGTTCTGGATGATCGTCCTGCAGCTGATTCAATTCTGTCCACTACTGCTGGACTGGGACAATTCCATCGCAGAAGCTGAATGTTTCTTTCATGACAGGACTAAACAGGATAAGCTACTAATTTGGATGTAATTTAATGTAGAAAATGGACTGTGAGAAAAACGGACATCCAAAAATTAAATGTTATGATGTGGTTGTGGAGAAGTTTGGAGTGAGTCAGTTGGAGAGAACATGAACAAAGAAAACATTTTCAAGGTGGTGGCAGACAAAAGGTGACTCTTATACATCATCAAGGTCGGGTTGGCCACGTTCTAAGACATTAGAACCTGCCGAAGGAGGTGATTTAATGATGATTAGAGGGACGCAGGTGAAGAAAAAGATATTATTGATGTGAAACAGGTCAAGATTGCAGGCTCCTATGAGAAACTGAAGAGAAAAGCACAAGACCAGGAAAAAATGGAGAAACGAGCAGAGAGCCTGCTATCCAGCATGTCCCCATTGCACCATTCAGCACAATGACTTGTCTATTTATGATGGGTACACCTTTGCCATTTTACTTCAGCAATCAAGCCTGTAACCTTAACACAGTTCTCTTCAAATGGGCCTTTTTCTACTGGGCCAACATCCAGATTTTCTGCATTATGTCGACAGCAAGTACCATCTCTACAGTTGATCTCCAAGACTACTGAACATGCGTGTTTGTGGTGGAGGGTTAGGATAGCAGTCAAGGTTTCTTTTTGTACCGAGATATCCTTTCACTTGATGAATAATTACAGTGCTCAATCATCTCTCAGGTCAATGGTCTCTCCTCACTTGTAATGCTGTGGAATTTTGTGGTGTAAATCTCTGATCTGCTCTCCCCTGAGCCTCTGCAGGTGTTTAAATGTTTCCTTGAACTATCAACTAGCATTCAATCAATAAATCAATTCTGTACATCAGCACACAGTAGTTTGTAAAATTCACTGCTGCAGCTGGAAAAGATTGACAAACTGAAGGTATTCCCCAAGAAACATTCAATAATTGAAATATTTTCTGATCACCCTGTGCAAAGATGTTATTACACACATCTAGAGTAGGTGGAGCTTGAACTCAGGCCTCCTAGCTCAAAGGTAGGACCACAACCATTATACCACAAGAACCCCACAGTCAACAATTGGCGATTTAATTCCTAAGTGGTATGCACTTGATCATTTCTAAGTGTATGCTATAGTCTTGGAGTTCATTTGTGTCTTTGTATAATGATCTGGCCAATTTGTTTAATAGAATTCTTGCAGTTTTTCTGACTTGTTAGGTAATGGACTGTAATTCCATTTGCTATGCACAAAAGACCATCAAGTTATTTGTGATCTCATTAATGCAGGCTCATCAATTAAATTTCTGTTTGGTAAGCTATATTGATGTCATTTAGTAGAGGTGACCTTTTCCATGCATATGGTAAAAAACAATAGAGTACTTTTTATGTCAGATGCATAATAGAATCTTGAGTAAACTTTTGAAATTCCGGAACCTGAAACTAAGTATGAAAAACTGAATGCAAATAAACAGTTTCCCTCAAGTGATCTGAGAGAAACTGTGTTCTGCTGCTCTGTATGGAAGTGAAATGTGTGCATAGAGAAATGTTTCCAACTGAAAAAACTCCTCATCTCACTGTATTATCTATTTTTTATAGGATTAACTGATTGTTTTTAAAAAGCTGTCTCTTTAAAAACAACCTTATCTTATGGCATGAGAGCGTGATTGGCAAGGCCAGCATATGTTGCCAACTAATTGCCCTTGAACTGAGTGGCTTGCTTGGCCACGTCAAACAGAGGGCAGTTAAAAATCAATCATTCTGTAGTAGGTCAGCAATCATGTATAGCGTAGGTATGTCATTACCGGATTAGTGAACCCGACGTGTTTTCATGACAATTTATTGAGACTAGTTTTATGTTCCAGATTTATTAATTGAATTTAAATTCCACCAGCTGCCATGGTGGGAATTGAACCCATGTCCCCAGGCCTGTGAATTACTAGTCCAGTGAAATTACCACTACCCCAACTTCTCCCATAACATCTTTAATGCAAACATCATGAGAACACAAGAAATAGGAGCAGGAGTAGACCATCTGGCCCATTGAGCCTGCTCTGCCATCCAATAAGATCATGGCTGATCTTTTTGTGGACTCAGCTCCAAGAGGCCCTTAATTGGAGTATTATTTATTTTTGCCTCCACTCGACTACTTCATCTCTGCTTTTCTGATGATGCTCGCTCATGCTGAGATATAATTCTCCAGTTACTGATCATTTAATACTATCTAAGTCAGTTGTCTGTTTTTAGTAACAAAAACAGAAGTTGCTGGAAAAGCCCTGAGGAAGGGTCACCGGACCTGAAACGTTAACTCTGATTTCTCTTCACAGATGCTGCCAGACCTGCTGAGCTGTTCCAGCAACTTTTATTTTTGTTTCTGATTTATGGCGTCCGCAGTTCTTTTTGGGTTTTTTTTTGTCTATTTTTAGTGTTAGCTTAACCGGTGAGTACTACAATGATATTCAGTCATGTGTTCATTGTGGCCAGATTCTGTCTTTGTCCAAATTATATGCATGTGCACTTTCCACAAGTACTACTGAACAGTAATTAAAAGTAGAAACTGTCAAGCTTCCTTCCACTTCTCCTCCACCTCATTTCCCAGGGCCATTAACCCTGGCTGAAGGGTTGGGATTAGGAATCTGACCTGGGAACTCTGACTTGCACTTCACCTAAATGGAGCAGTTATCAAGTGAGCAACAATGAGTTAATACGACAGTGAAAATGGTTGGGAGCCAGTTTTGTTTCATAATACCTGAAAATCATCATCAATAAATTACAATGGTAGTGTATGATGTATCATTTTCATTCTTAAGCCATTCCAACATCAGTGTAATTATCATTTTGTAATTTTTCCATTGGCTGAAGTCAAATTAAATGGTCTTTTATTGTTTAATTTTGAGAGAACTTATAGATTGTGGCAATCTTTTTTGGAGTCTTTTTTATCAGCCTTCTTTGGGCAAGAAGATAGTAAATTATCAAAAGGTTTTAAATTATTTTCTCTTTCCTTCCATTCTGCCTTTGTCACTGTAAAAGCACAGCACGCTTTAGTGTTCAGTTACCCATGTGCATCTGTCTGAAGGTTTTTGTTTTAAAATTAAGGAGTAACTATTAAAGAGCACAAAAAGTCTTTTCTTCGAAAATGTTGCATAATATGAAAATCCATTTCTTTTACTACAGCACCTGCCAGCAGAAAACCAGGAGATCCACTCATTATTTCAGACATTAAGAAAGGAAGTGTTGCACACAGGTGAGCTTTTTCACTTTGCAAGTATTTTAAAATTGGTCATTAAATGCTTTGAGTTATGTATTCATAAAAGGACTAAATGCGGTTTATGCAAAATAAGATGTATGTGTGTGAGGCTTATGGTAAGGCCTGTATGGTTTGTGCAGCAGCTTGAATGAAGTGCAATCATTTACATTTTAGCCAAGCATAGGAACAACAAATCACCTTGCCATTAAAGAGATTTCATTGTTCTCACAATCTGTTAATATCTTTAATGTAAGTACGGTTTCAGTGACAATTTATTATAAGCTCTTCCTATCATCTGTCCATCCTTTCTGTGGGGATAAAGTGAGGTTATACACTTTGGCAGGGTAAATAAAGGAACTGCATATTATTTAAATTGAGAGACCCTGCAGAAAGCCACAGCGCAGAGGGATTTAGGGGTCCTCGTGTACAAATTACAAAAAGCTAGCTTTCAAACTCTGCAGGTAAATGGGAAAGGCAGATGGAATGTTGGCCTTTGTTTCAAAAGGAATGGAGTATAAAAACGCGGAAGTCTTGCTAAAACTATACAAGGCACTAGTTGGATCACAGCTGGAATACTGTGGATAGTTTTGGGAGCTTTATCTAGGGAATGATGTACTGGCATTGGAGGCAACCCAGAGAAGGTATCACTAAATTGGAAAGTTGGGCAGAGAAATGGCCGATGGAGCTTCAATTTGGACAAGTATGAAGTGATGAATTTTGGGAGGCCAAATGCAAAAGTAAAGTATACAGTTAATGGCAGGACCCTGAGATACATAGAGGGATCTTAAGGCCCTTAAAATGGCAACACAAACGAATAAGGTGGTAAAGAAGGCATATGGTGTTCTTGCCTTCATCGGTCAGGGTATTGAGTATAAAAGTTGGCAAGTCATGTTGCATGTCTAATCAACTTCAGTTAGGCCACATCTGGAGTATTGTGTACAGTCTGGTCCCCATATTAGTGATGATGTAGAGGCTTTTGAAAGGGTGCAATAAAGGTTTACCAGGATGTTGGCTGGATTGGAATGTATTGGGTTTGAGGAGAAATAGGACAAACTTGGATTGTTTTCGCTAGAGCATTAGAGGCTGAGAGACGACCTGACAGAAGTATATAAAACTAAGAGAAGCATGGATATGGTGGATAGTTGGAGTCTTTTTCCCATGGTGTAAATGTCTAACACTAGGGGACACGGGTTTTAGATGCGAGGGAGAAAGTTTAAGGGAGGTATGCAAGGAAAGTTTTCTACACAGAGGGTGGTAGATGCCTGGAATGCACTGCCATGGGAGGTGGTCAAAGCAGAGTTTGAGGCATTTAGACAGACACACGAGCAAGAAAGGAATAGAGAGATATGAACCATGTGCAGGCAAATGAGATTGGTTTAGAATGGCATCATAATTGGCACAGACTTGGTGGGCTGAAGGGTTAGTTCCTGTGCTGTACTGTTCTGTGTCCTATGTTCAAGGTTGATCCCCAGAGGGATATTCTTATGCGGAAAGGTTGCATAATTTGAATTTAGAAGAATGAGAGGCAACTTTATTGAAGCATATACAATTCTTAGGGGACTTAACAGAGAAGCTGCAGAAAGTTTGCTTCCCCTTGGGGGATAGCCCATGACCAAGGGGCATAATCTCAGAGTAAGGGGTCGCCTATTTAAGAGAGAGAAGAGGAGGAATTTCTTATTTCAGAGGCTAGTAAAGTTGTGGAATTCTTTACCACAGAGGGCTTTAAGGTTAGGTTTTTGTCTATACGGGGTTGAGACACAGATTTTTGTAAGTACAACTTCAAATTTATAGCTATCAAATTGGCAAGTGAGATTATTACAGAGATGGACATCGGCAACTTTAATAAACTTGCAAAGTGGATACATATTGACAAATTAATTTTTGTTGCAGGTAAGTGTGACATAGTACACTTCAGCAGGAAGAATAACAAAACCGCGTACTGTTGGAATCTAGCTGTCCAAATGAAACATGAAACAAGAGAAACAGAGGGATCTTAGAAATCACTAGAAATAGTAACTCTAGAGTAACAAAACCAGCAAAGTAATCTGGTTCTTTTCAGAGTGATAAAATTAAAAAGTGGAGAAAGTTATGTTAACTTATATAAAACCAAAATAGATCTCATTTGGCTTCTGTGTTCATAAAAGGGATGTACTGGCACTAAAGGTGAAAAATTATTTCCTGTAATGAAAGCAGATTGGACGTAGGAGGAATGATTGAACAGACAAGTGCTCTTTTCTCTAGAAAAGAGAAGATTGAGGGGTAATTTCATGGGGTCTTTCAAATTATGAAATAGTTGATGGAGTAAGTGTAGAAAAGGTGTTGCAACCCTGTAATGGTGATACTTCCAAAAGTAGGGAATTCGTAATTATAATCAAGGAAACATAGGACCATGTGGAATGGTTTATGACAGGAGAGGAACTTGGAGGCGACAATATTCCTCAAACATTTTCCTGCTCAGTGGTATCATTATCCTAATATTCCCAACCTTTTGGATGTGTCATGGGCACAAGGCTGCAATTGTTCAAGAAGGCGGCGCTCCACCATCAACTCAGGGCAATTAGGGACAAGCAATAAGTGAGGACTCAACATACACTTGTTCAAGAAAAATCATTCATTAATCATGAAGATGTGCTTTCCTTTGATCTAGCTCATAGCCACCAATGTGTCTAAAGTCGAAATGTTTCAATATTTAGCACACGGTTCCTCAATTGTATATTGTATTTAAGTCATTTCTGCCATATTCTACTGATGCCTTCATCCATTGACATTTGATCAGATGTATTTCTATAAAGCACGGCAGTCTTAGAGCTACCCGTTACATGAGATTTGATAGTAAGTGTTGGCAGGTAATTTGACAACCATTTTAATCCTGTTCACCATTCAATGTATGCACACACATTTTCAGGTATAAATCACAAAGAAGCTGGATTCATAGCTGATATTTCACCTCTGTGCTCTGGGATCTCACATGCTCCTGTGAAAATCAGCTAGCTCCAGATGGGCTGGTAATTGAACATTAGATTTTCTAACCCATTTAGCTTGGTGGTATATTGGGCAGTACTTTTATCTGTTGGTCATCAGGGAAGTTTATCATCACCAACTTAGATTTTCTAATGATAATTGCAGTTGCTTATCTCTGCGTAAATTAGAATTACTTGACAATCTCCAATGTAATAAAGCACTGTTCAATTAATACTCCATCAATTATGACTTCAAAATACTGAAGAACAGGTGAAGAAACGATCGATTTCAACTTCCAATGTGAATTTAGATTTAAAGCTTGAGTGATGACTGTTTTTCATAAGCATTGTGTATTTTCAAACAGAACTGGAACATTGGAGCTGGGAGACAAGCTGCTTGCTGTAGACAGCATCCGTTTAGATAACTGTTCCATGGAAGATGCAGTTCAGATCCTTCATCAGTGCGAGGAACTTGTGAAACTCAAAATACGCAAAGATGAAGACAACTCAGGTAGAAAGGAACACGTAGCTTTCTTTTAATTTGGCGAGCATTGTGACTGAGCAGTCATTCCTAAGTTTCAGTCAAAATGTTTAAAGTTTTCCCTAATTGTCCTTTGTTAACTTGAGCAGAAGTAGTGCGGGAAATATGGCGAAGCAGCACAAATATTGTTGTGATTCTGACAGTGAAGTTTTTAAAAAATGACAACGCTCACAGTTATCCATTCTGCTGCCCATGCATGTATTTTGTTTATGAATTTAAGCACTGTTAAAATGCTGCCAACCTTATTTGTTTAACTGATTCTCATGCAACTTGCATTTTCATTCAATATTCATATGTTAGTAATCAAATTATGGAAGTTTTTATTGGAAGATTACTATGTGACCAAGTCATTGTAATTGGAGAGATAATAAAATTAATTAGAAAATATGAGATTATGAAGGTCAAAGGCAAAAACCAAGTACTTGAATCATGAACGAGTCTAATTATTCACAGATGCCATTGTTATAGTTAAGGATCTTGAATTTGTGTTCAGGTTATTGTATTTGTGTTCTCTTTCATTGTGACTATTGTTAAAGTGTGAGGTTTATACAATTATTGTAAAGTCATGAGTTGAATCACAGGAAGCCTACCCATAAAGTCATGTTAGTTGGAGCTATGAGTTAGCCAAGGAAGCTCTTGTATAACCCTATTTACCTGGAAATATGCTTTTCTTTAAAAGAAAAAAGAAAAGTAAAAACAGAAGTAATAAGATTAGGGAACAGAAGGAGTCACTTTAGTCCATTGAGCCTGCTCCGCTATTCAACATGATTATAGCTGATCTGATAGTCCTCAACTTCAATTTCCCACATTTTACCGATACCCCTCGATTCCCCTTCTGGTTACATTTGGTCTGTCTCAGCCTTGAATAAACTTAATGATCCAGCATCCAGTGCTCTGTGCAATAAAGAATTCCATAGATTCAGTTGCCTCTGAAGAAAGAAATTCTTCCCCATCTTTGTCTTAAATGTGCGATTCCTTACTCTGAGTTAGCCCCACTGGTTCTAGACTCTTTCACAAAGCGAATCATCCTCTTCACCTTTATGCTGTCAAGCCCCCTAAGAATCATATATGTTTCAATAAGGTCACTTCTGACTCTTCTACACTACAGGAAGTACAAGCCCAACCTACTTAGCTTCTCGTAAGAATGTCCCTTCATATCCGGGATCAACCCTGTGAACCTTTTCTGGGCTGCCTCCAATGCCAATATAGCTTTCCCTCAGATAATGGGACCAAAAGCATTCACAGTATTTTAGGTATGATCCGACTCGTGCCTTGTACAGTTTTAGGAAGACTTCCCTATGTTTATAGTTCCCTTTGAAATAAAGGCCAACATTCTATGTGTTTTTCCTACTACCTGCTGGACTGGTATGCTATCTTTTTTGTTATTTATGCCGAAAGACTCCCAGATCCTCCTGTGCCACAGCTTTTTGCAGTCTTTCTCTATTTAAATAATAATCAGCTCCTCTCTTCTTTCTGCCAAAGTGCATAAATTCACATTTCCGTGTGTTATATTCCATCTGCCAAATTTTTGCCTCCTCGCCTTGCCTTATCTATATCCCTCTGCAGACTCTTACTGTCATTGTCACCACTTGCCTTCCTACATTTTTTTGTGTCATCAGCAAATTTGGCTATAGTATATTTGCGTCCCTCATCCAGATCATTATTATAACTTGTAAATAATTGTGGCACCAGCCCTGATCCTCGTGGCACTTCACCAGCTACAGGTTACATCCAGAAATCACCTTTCTTATCCCAACTCTTGTATTCAGTTCATTAGATAATCCATTATCCATGCCGATGTACTGTCCCCAAAACACCATAGTATCTTATCTTATTAAGTAGCATATGTTTGCTTTTTGAAAGCCTTTGGAAATCCAAATATATTACCTTCACTTTTTCCCTGTATCCCTGTTTATTTCCTCAGAGTTCTGATGAATTTTTCAGACGTGGTTTCCCTTTCTCGAAGCCATGCTGACTCTGCTTACTTATATTGTACATTGCTATATGTTGTACTTAAAATAGACTCTACCGCTTTCCCAATGTCAGATGTTAAGCTAACTGGCCTATAGTTACTTATTTTTAACACCCTTTTTGGATAAGGGTGTTACTTTTTTAGTTTTCCAATAATCTGGGACTTTTCCAAATCCTCCTTCCTCACTGGGATGTATATCTTTGTTGTGAGTCATGAACTATTTTCTTAAATGTCTGCCATTATCTTTCAACTGTCTTTTCTGCTAAACTCACTGCAAGTCCACTTTGTAATTATCCTTTATTTAAATTTAATCAACTGATTCCCACCCAAGTTTCTCGCCCTCACACTAAATGCTAAATTCTGCAACATTACGGTCACTGTTGCCAAAAGGATCTTTTACTCTGAGATAATTAATTAAACCGCCTCATTGCACATTAACAAATCCAAAATAGCATCATCCCAGTTTGGATCTACAACGTATTGTTCCAAGAAACTGTCCTGAATACAGTCTCTGGCTATTTCTGTCAATTTGATTTTCCCAATCTACATGAAGATTAAAGTCACCCAGGGTCAATGCACTACTTTTCTTATATGCCCAAAAGTATCTTCTGGTTTATTCTCTGCCCCACAGTATAGTTACTGTTAGGTGGCCTTTATACTACCCCCACCAACGTTGTATTCTCCTTTGTTATTTCTTGCCTCTGCTCACATAAAGATTACATCTTCTGATCCAAGATAATTTCTTGCTAATGCATTTACCATTCTGTACTGACAAGGCTACCCAGCATTATTTTCTTCCTGCCTTGACTTTCAATAAGTCACATATCCCTGAAGATTTTGTTCCCATCTTGCCCTTGTCACCATGCCTCTGTAATGGCTATAAGATCATAGCCATTAACCTCTATTTGTGTCATTTTTTTTCACTTATTTTGCCCTGCATTGTCTGAGTGTTTAAGTAAGGTCCATTAATTTTGCCAATTTGCCACTTATTCCCCTTTGACTTTCTTTGCTATCTTTTAATTTTGTACATTCTGCTCCTCCTTGTAGTATTCTGAATATCATTACTTTAAATAGCTGCCCTATCCTTTTGCTTAATAAGAATTCATATGTATCCCTTCTCCAGAACCCCCTAACCCCCAGTCCCCTGCTCCAACTTGTTCAAAGTCCTTTCTACAGTCCTAGTTATTAGATTTACTGGGATAATGATTCTAGCAGAGTTCAAGTGAAATCTGTTACACTGGATCAGCCCCTTTCTACTCCAGGACTGGTGTTAGTTCCCTTTGGACTGAGACACAACCCAACGTGTGAAACGATGCTTTTTTTTTCAATTTTTTCACACTTTATAATTATTACTTTATAATAGCCAGAAATAACACTCCTGAGGAGCTGTGCATCATTTTGCATTGGTCCCAGGAGTATTGGATGTCAACTTATGAGACCAAGTATAGAATAGAATAGAATCCCTCCAGTGTAGGGACAGGCCCTTCGGCCCAATAAGTCCACACTGACCCTCAGAGCACCCACGTAATCTACACATCCCTGAACACTACGGGTAATTTAGCATGGTCAATCCACCTAGCCTGCACATCTTTGGACTGTGGGAGGAAACCAGAGCACCAAGAGGAAACCCACACCATCACGGGAAGAATGTGCAAACTCCACACAGACAGTCACCTGAGGGTGGAATTGAACCCGGGTCCCTGGCGCTGTGAGGCAGCAGTGCTAACCACTGAGCCACCGTGCTGCCTGTGTGTCATTAGAAGTAGAAAGGGGCAAACTCTGTTTGTTAGTTTAAAGTATAAGTTTCCTATGAAAGTGTATTTTTAATAGCAGTTTGTCATTAGTCCTTGATGCTGTAAATATTATTTTAAAAATGCTGTATCTTGATCTGTCATCCTTTCAACTACTAACTGGAAGTTTAATTTTCTCGTTAAATTATTATCAACGCTGAAGAAAATCATAACACTACTTAACAATTTAGAACTTAACAATGTTAGAAGTGCTGGCTAACCAGTCAGAACTCCTTCATTAGGTAACTATATCATCTTAACTGGAGTTAAATTATGTGATTTTTTTTTATAATTGATGCTACAAGAATTCTCATTTCACATCCTCATGATGTCTCAAAGCATTCACAGCTAAGAAATTATATTTACTCAATTATGTATGCAAAGAAGCAAGAGTGAAATCTGTTTCTGGTGGAGTTTATTGAAGGATATGTGGGCTGTCATACCAGGAGATCTCCTTTGCTCACCTTTTGAGAATTGCCAAGGCTCCTTTTACAATAACTGAAACACTGTAATGTTTCATCCAAAAGATGAATTATGCAGGTGAATTGCCACAAGTTTCCTGCTTATTCTTTGTAACCTCAGCAAAATCACAGAAATACTGGATGAGTGGCACAGCACCAGAATCATAGAATCGTATATTACAGAAGAGGCCTTTTGGCCCATCGAGTCTGCACCGACACCTAAGAAACGTCTCACCCATATTTACCTTTCCAGGGATTCCACATCTCTTCTAGTGAAGCCGCTGTGGACAAATGGGAAAAGCCCCTGTGAAAATTTACTCCCTAATTTTTTTTCAAATATTTCAAACAACAGCCAGTCATAGCATAATGACTTCAACCCAAACAAATAAAACTAGATGGTTTTGCCACTGAGTGATGCAGAAAGAATCCACCTTTTAATGCTTAGCACAAACAAAAATAATGTGTTTTGAGATTTTAAATGGACTTAATCACCAAGGCTACAGTCTTAAGTTAGCCCTGTGTTAAATATGTTTATCTGTAAATAGCCCAATGAATAAGGCATGGAATGAAACATGCTGAAGCTTGTGGGTTTTTCACTTCTTGACCCAGGTGTTTTAGGGTAAAATGTCAAATGGAAGTCTGACTTTCCCCAAAAAGGATGAACATAAAATTAAATGAGAACCAATTTATTTAATCTTCACAGCTCTGGAGAAGAGGCATCTATACTCAAAACGTTAGCATGCTGTCTCTTCACGGATGCTGCCTGAACTGCTGTGATTTCCTGTGTATATTAAGTTGGTTTTATTGGTTGTGGGTATGGGATCCTTTACTTTAGTCAGTAGCTGTTGCAGGGTGGTTGTTGGTTTGTGGGCTACCCTGATATCTAGGGGTCTGAGTAGTCTTGTGGTCATCTCTGATATGTCTCTGATGTATGGTAGGGTGACTAGTGTGTCTGGCTGTGTTGTGTCTTCTTGCTGTGGTCTGTCGCAGAGGTAATGGCGGATTGTGCTTTTTGGGTATCCCTTTCTTTTTAAAACTCTGTATAAGTGCTCCTGTTCTGCGTGGTGCAATTCTGGATTACAACGTAATATATAAAATACCATGCAAGGACTGTGAAAAACATTACACAGGCCAAACTGGAAGAAAACTGGCAATAAGGATACATGAACACCAATTAGCCACCAAGAGACATGACCAGTTTGCACTGGTCTCAATTCACCTGGACAAAGAAGGGCACAAATTCGACTGGGACAACACATCCATAACAGCACGAGCCCAACAGAGATATGCCAGAGAATTCCTGGAGGGCTGGCATTCCAACCAGAACTCCATCAACAAACACATTGAACTGGATCTGATATACAAACCATTGAAAAACAGACCCGGAAATGATGCCAACCATTCCAGCAAATTGAGGCATGTAAATAACAAGCTGGACAGAACACCAGTGCTTCACCAGAGGCGCATGACGGTGTTACCTAGCAGGGAGATGTCTGCAACCAAACACACAGGCTCGTCGAACAAGTCTACAGCCTTGTACAGGAATACACTGTGACACTATTTCATTCATCAAAGTGTCTTTGAAGAAGCAGCCTATAATTTGTTGTCAATGCTTCATTATTAAGTGTCACAATCATTTCAGAGCTTTGTTATTCAGTAATATAAAAGTTATTGCAGAAGATTATTAATCCTTTACTGTAGGCATGGAATAGTCATTATCTTGAGCCAAGGTAAATTGAGCGCATTTTAACACAATAAGTGCAACCTGTTGGGGTTTTTAGTATAATGGCAGTCTACGTATTTATCTAGGTTTACTTTACACAAAGCAATTTTATTTTGATGGATTGGAGAAGGTTTGGACTTTCTTTTTAAATGGAGAGGTGTGAACAATGCCCACATGCCTCAATGCAGAAGCTCATTTACACAAAAGTTTCTCAGGTTCTGCCTGGCACCCAGCTAGACCCACTGATCCTATCCAACAGACACATGCAAACTGCTGGTGGAGGGTTGTAGCCAGAGACAAATTGCATTGGGAGGTGATCTTTTTTTTGGGGGGGGGGGGGGGGGGGGGGAATGGGGAACGCAACAAATTTGTCTGTCTGAAAGTGATTTTTTTGAATGTAATTGCTACAGTAATGCACTGTGATTATAAGCACCATGCCCATAGCTATTTTCCCAGTTTCATCTCTGAACACCTTAGGGATTTGACTGTTGGGTTGTTATTTGACAGCTGATTGTATTATTATCCAGTAAGGAATAGGTTGGAAGGAATGAAATAAAGTTGCCACAGTCCTACTGGACCGTAAAACTGCTCTTTCTTTAGGGAAAGGTGACTGGTGGTGGTTTCATTTGAAGGTCACTACACCTCAGGCAAGGGAAGAGGTTGAGAAAAAAAGTCCTTCATTGTAACCTCAGCCGTTGTGGGGATTGAACCCATGCTGTTGGCATTAGCCTGCATTAAAAACCAGCCGTCCATCCAACTGAGCACCCCACCCCACCCCACCCCACCCCACCCCACCCCACCCCACGCCACACCACGGAGATAAGGAGGCATTAAATTACTAAATAATCCAAAAGTTGTCTTTCAGTGGAGTAAACTGAGGAGTTGGGCCAATTGGGGCCCCTCAGATCTGATCTCATACAGCCTTAGTTCAAATAGGGGAATAGGGGAATGTAGCAAGCTGGATACAAAATTGGCTCAGTGGTAGGAACAAAGGGTAATTGTTGATGGGTGTTTTTGTGACTGGAAGGTTGTTTCCAGTGGACTATTGCAGTGTTCAGCCCTAGGACCCCTTGTCCTCATGGTCTGTGTTAACAATTTGGATGCAAACGTAGGGAGAAAGGATCATGAAGTTTCCATCTGGTTCATTTTTTTTGTTTTTTTTGGAAAGGAAATCTGCCATCCTGGTTGGTCTGGCTTACATGTAACTGTCGATCTCCAGCAGTGCGCATGACTTTCAGCTGCCCTCTGATATGGTTCAGCAAACCACTCCATTTCAAATGCTGACCTTGCCAGCGATGCCCACTTTCTGTGAAAGAATAAAGGAATATGAAATTATGTTCACTGTGCACCTTGAATGTTATGAATATGTCTCCTGTTAACTGAGCACAGAATCAGGTTGGCCACATTTGTGTTTCAGGCAAAACGCCAGGGGATTGCATCTTGAGAGAAATTACACATGGAGTTTAATCGATTGTTGCTTTTATTTGGCATGAATTATTGCTGAAATAAACGATGTATTCAATGCAACTTAATTTAATCTGATTAGCCCAATTAAACTTGGCCTAGCTCCATGACAGTTGGTGATCCTTCCTTCAAAGCAGCAGTGTCGAGTGTTCAATACATCATCATCCTTTTATTTCCAGTGTAACCTTAAATCAAAATTACTTTGTTTTTTGGTCTCTTGTGTTATTTATATTGCTTAAGTCATATCATAAGACGTTTTAAAATTTTGATCAGAAATGCTGCATATGTGAAAGAACAATCTCAAATGGTGCAAATTGTATGTCTCAATCTCACAAGAGATGTTTTGAATCACAATTGGGATACGTGCGGTTCACATTTTTTGTGTATAGAGAATTATTAACTATAGTGCGGGGCCTTTTACACTAAAGATGTGAAACAGTTCCAAGTTTAAATGAAGGCACTTGGCACATGCAACCAGATTAACAGTGTAAATAAGATTCTCCATTTGGTAGTATTCTTGGTTCAAGTTGTACAATGATAAATCTTTTCAACGCCATTCCTGCTGCTTTTGTACAAAAGCATTTATGCTTTCCTTGAATTCTAGATGAACAAGAGAGCTCTGGGGCAATTATTTACACTGTGGAGTTAAAACGTTATGGTGGTCCATTAGGAATTACCATATCGGGCACTGAAGAGCCTTTTGACCCAATTGTCATCTCGAGCCTAACAAAAGGAGGTTTGGCTGAAAGGTAAGGCACACAATCTATTCCTTCTGCAAATAATGCACAGCTCTCCCCAGTCTCCGAACTCAGCTGAGTCTGGGAAACTCTTGTTCGATGCTGCCGCTTTCCAAGAGGAAGAAGAGAGTGTTAAGGAATGTCAGCTGGGCTGCATTTAGCAGTTAGTCACTGATTGACTTTGGAAACAGTCATAAAGTCAGCAGACTGTTCTCTGAACTGGGAATGAGAAGCAAGTGCGTGAACTATGTAACTGAGTAACTTACAGATCTCAAGGAATTTGGGAGTGCCTTGTAACCATGTATAACCCATGACTTATTGAATATTTAAAATCTCTAATTATACTTGGCCTGTAACCTCCTGTACATCATGATTGATCCAGATATGTGGTGTACTGATATGTGAATGCTGTGTGTACTATATAGGCGTTTGATATTTGTAAGCATTGCGGGTATTTTAGATTGTTTTAACAAGACGGAGAAAATAGCTTACTTAATGGATGCGTGATTTATTAGGTGTTTGCACTGGACACATCAATAGACAATTGAAGAGTTAGCAGTGAGCATTTTCTAACATGCTGGGAAAATTGTTTGCATGTGAGTCTATCTGATTTATTGAAGACCCCACAGTATTCCCCATCTCTCTTCAAAAAAAACCTGTTTAGACTAAAATGACGACTAGATTTATTATCAGAGATGTGATTCACATGCTGGTTATTTATTGTCACAGAATTTGATTGTCATTCTGGCATTGTTAATTTTATGCTCAATAAAGCTGTGATAAATCAGTCTCAAATATATGAAGCTAACCCAGTCCTTGCACATAAAATTATATAAAGCATGAAACAATCTTCTTGCCATCTGTTCTAATCTTTTTTTTCCTTGAATATGAAGTTTTTTTTGTCTTATGTTACAGGACTGGTGCAATCCATATTGGAGACAGAATCTTGGCTATAAACAGCAGTAGCCTGAAGGGTAAACCCCTAAGTGAGGCTATTCATCTCTTACAGATGGCAGGAGAGACTGTCACACTGAAAATTAAAAAACAGCTTGATGGTAAGGACTTAACTTGCTGCATTCATGTTTTTTTGAATGAGTTGACATTCAAACTTCTATTTTAATTTAGGAAATATGAAAATCCGGGTTACATGAAGAGTTAAATAAAACAAAGAAGTGCAGATGCTGGAAATCTGAAACAAAAAGAAATCACTGGAGAACCTCAGCAGGTCTGGTAGGATTTGTGGAGAGAAAGCAGAGTTACCATTTTGGGTCCAGTGACCCTTCTTCAGAAGACCCTTCCAAAGAAGGTTCACTGGACCCAAAACATTAACTCTGCTTTCTCTCCACAGGTGCTGCTGGACTTGCTGAGGTTCTCTAGCAATTTCTGTTTTCGTTACATGAATAGTAACCTGGTTTATGTTAAAATTGTTAGCTTCTTCTACGACTTTTGGGGACTGTCTACTCAAAGGCTCCCAAATAGATCCAAGGTACAGACAGTTGATTTTTTTTCTGAAGCTGTAGCCAAACTAACTCCAAGCAAAGAGGGCGGGTTTTGTACCATAATTTGTGGCTGGATTTAAATCGGGTCCTTGAGAAGTATAAGCGCCACACCAGATGGCTGATTTTTTTTTTAGAAAAGAAATATTCTTTGATTTTTGGATACGATTTTGGTTGTCTTTGTTTTTACAGTATCCAGTCCTAAAAAATCATCAGTTTCTGGTCGGCTGAGTGAATTGAGTGATGTTGAAGATGAAATTCCCACTGTACAGAAGCCTGTCAAGCTCTGTGAGATGTACTCTGCTACGATCCCCAGTGTGGATAGTGCAGTGGAATCCTGGGATGGGTCAGGCATAGACACAGGCTATGGAAGTCAAGGTAACAGATAAGTTTGAATTGTATTTTGTTAATTGTTCATGAGAAGTTGATGTCGCTGGCAAATCCAGCATTTATTGCCTATGCTTTAAAAGCTTTTGATACATTAAATCAAGATGCTTTTAGGAAAGTCTTCACCAAACTTGGATTTACAGATAAAATTGTGACATGATATAGGAGCAAAAGTAGACCACTTTTTCCCCTCAAGTTGTTTTGCCATTCAATAAGATCAAGGCTGATCTGTTTGTGTTTTGCATTGCACATTTCCATCTACCCCTGATTTAACCCCTGATATCCCTGCTGAACAAGAATCTAGCCACCTTTTGACTTAAATATTTCAATGACCCCACTGCCACCACCTCTGAGGCAGAGTTCTAAAGTCTCACAACTCGCTGAGAGAAAAAAAATTCTCCCCATTTCTGAACTAAAAGGCCAACGCCTAATTTTAAAATTAGTTCCCCTAGTTGTGGACTGACACACAAAAGAAAATGTCCTTTCCACATCCACCTTGTCCAAACTATTTAGGATCTTCTACACTTCAATCAATCACCCCTCACTCTTTTTAAACCCCAGAGGAAGCAAGCCCAATCTCCTCAACTTATCCTAATAAGACAACCCAATCATTCCAGGCATCGATCTACTGAGTCTCTTCTGAATTGTCTCTAATGAACCATTTTCCCTTTAAAAAGGAGACCCAGACTGCAGACAGTATTCAAGATGTGGGCTCACCAACGCCCTGTATAATGAAAGCATAACCTTCTTATTTTTATGTTCACTTCCACTTGTAGTTAAAGATAGCATGCCAATGGCCACCTTGATTTTGTACCGTCCCTGCCTGATAAATTTTCATGAGTCATGCACCATAACACCTAAATCACTCAGGTGCCTCAAAGTTTTGCAGTTATTCTCCATCTAAACAATGCTGTCCTGTTGTTTTAGTCTTCCCACTAAAGTCAACAACTTCACACTTACCCACATCTTACTCCATTTACCAGATAATTGCCCATTTACTCAACCTTTCTACAACTGTCTGCAACTTCCTTATATCATCACGACATACTTACCTATCTGTCTCAGTGTCATCTGTGAATTTAGCTACCATGCCTCTGCCTCTTCATCTAAGTCATTAATATAAATTGCACAAACCCTACAAGAGTCCACTTGTCGCATCCTGTCAATCAAAGACCCATTTATGCATATTCTCTTTTCTGCCAGCCAGCTGATCTCTATCCTTTCTAGCATGTTACCATCTACATCATGAGCTTTTATTTCCTGCCTTTAATATGGCACCTTGTCAAATACCCTTTGGAAATCTTGAGTACAGTATGTCTGCAGGCTCACCCTTATCCTTTATTCCTTCAAAGCACTAGAAGAATTGGTTAAACATGATAGCCCATTGAAATGCTGACAATTCCCGATTGCCTTGCATTTTTCTAAGTGTAGCTTTTGCCTCTTTAATGATCAATTCTAACACCTTCCATTTGACAGGCGTCATGCTAACTACCTATAGCATCCTGTTTCCTGTCTCACTTTCTTCTTGAAGAGTGGGTGATATTTGCTACTTCTCGGTTTGATAGAATGTTTCCAGAATCTAAGGAATTTTGGAAATTAAAACCAATGCATCTACTGCCTCTTTAGCCATTTCTTTTAAGATAAGGCCAGCTAGATCCAAGATTTGTCAGCCCACAGCCTGTAGTTTGCTTGGTACCATTTCCCTCATGATTATATTTTCACTAAGTTTCTCTCTCCCTTCCACCTCCTGATTTAAAGCTCTTCCTTTTTTTTTGTATCCTCTATAGTGATTACAGAAGTAAAATATTTGTTCATTTCATTTGGGATTTCCTTGTTACCTACTATTAACTCTCCTTTCTCACTCTATCGAGGACCAGCGTTCACTTTACTTACTCTTTTCTTGTTTAAATACTGGTTGAAACTCTTGTTATCTGTTTTCATATTCATAGTTAGTTTCCTCCCATACTCTAATTTCTTTCTCCTGATTGACTTCTTAGTAATTCTTTATTGTTCTTTATATTCTGTCCAATTATCTGACCTGTTATCTTTGCACAGTTAAATACTTTTTCCTTAAGTTTGATGCTTTCCCTAACTACTTCAGTTAACCCTGAATGTGCAGGCTCCTTTATAGTAGGAATTTACGTATTCTGAGTATTCTGAAATATTTCCTTAAATGTTTGCCACTCTTTCTCTATTGATCTATCTCATCGCCTGGTATGCCAGTTCACCTGGCTCAGCTTTGATGCCAAATAATTGACCTTATTAAATATAAAATACAAGACCCAAAATTCTCCCTTTCAATCAAATTTTGGTCACTGCTACAAAAGCAAAGTTGCTGGAAAAGCTCAGCAGGTCTGGCAGCATCTGTGAAGAAAAAAACGTTTCGGGTCCGGTGACCCTTCCTCAGAACTACTGGTCAATGCTACCTAGTCTGAAATCATTAATTAAACCTGTCTCATTACCCTTATGTAGTTTCATGGTGGATTGATGGACAGAGATATTGTTCCCATTGTTTGCCTCGCTCAGGAGATTGCTAGGGAGTGAGCGCATCTGGAGTAACAATGTTTTTTGCAAAATGAATTCTTGGGAAATGCTGAATTTGCCAGCTGGACTTTTTACGTCCCTTTTTTGGGTCTGGGAAGAGGGCATTGAGAATGAGACTATGGTGCCAGGAGAGGTGATATAAAGCTAAGAATAGTATAAACAGTCTTTCTGTTGAATAGGCTACTGGATCAGAAGGATGATAAAGATTGCAAACTATTCAGTTTACTTCAAGTGAACAGCTAGGTCATAGGAACTAGGAAAAGGATGTGGAATCTTTTGGCTGGAGATGAATAAGGTAGTTTTAGTTAAGCCAGTATTCAGTTGGATAAAGTGTCATCATATATGTCATGAAGTTGGACATAAAAAAAATCAGATACAAAAACCTGAGTCCATATGATCATAAAGCATAGAAGTAGAAGTAAGCTTTTAAGCCCATCAAGTCTGCTCTGCTGTTCAATGAGATGATGGCTGATCTAATGATCCTCAACTCCACTTTCCTGCCTTTTCCACCTAACTCCTGATTCCTTACTCATTTAAAAACTTGTCGATTTCAGCCTTGAATATACTTAATGACCCAGCATCAAGGGTCTCTGAAGTAAAGAATTCCACAGATGCATTTTATCTCTGAGGAATGAAATTCCTCCTCATCTCTGTTTCAAATGTACAAGTCTTATTCTGAGATTATACTCTCTGTTCCCAGACTGTCCCACAAGGGGCAATGTTTCCACATCTTACCCTGTCAAGTCCCATAAGAATCTTTTATGTTTCAAAAGGTCACCTCTCATTCTTCTATATTTCAATGAGTACAGGACCAATCTAGTCAACATCTCCTCAAAGGACAGTCCCTCCGTACGTGGTGTTAACCTACATGTGAAGTAAGCAAATGCTAGATTTAGTGTCTGTGATGTAGCCTGAGATTGGGAGCTGGTATTCCGTATTAGATAAAGTTCGTAAGTGATCATAGAATCAGGGGTGCTAGCAGAGTAATCGAGGTGGCTATTGTCAGCATGCATGTAAAGCTGACCTGATTCTCATTGACACTGTTGCTTAGGGGCTAAATTAAACTAAAGAAAGAAGGCGACCCCAATTTCAGGCGTTTTGGTATTGCTGTGGTGACTGACTTGAGGATGGAAGAAGAAACCATTGCTGAATACGTGCTGGCCATGTTGGCAAAGATCCCTTTAAAATGACTGTGGAAGATAGATGGAGGTGATACAGCACTTCAGTCTTCAAATAGTTCTCACTTTTATTCAGAAACATTGCTACCCCCTGAGAATTACTTTTCTTTTCAAAAGGGTTTTTTGAACACAAACTTCATTTGTAGCTTGTATCCAGTGTACAGACATCACAAATGGCTCGAACTTTTTAAGCAGATGTAAAGTAATAGGAAATAAAAATAATCATCCGCACAAAGCAAGAGACTTGCTCAGATTTGGAGCTGTGTCTCTATTATTGACCTCCGACCTTTATTAGTAGGCTATTTAAAGGGGAATGCCAACTGAACAATTCTCCAAAACTCCACACTGCCTAATGACAAAACCCAGTTATGACCATATATTCATGTGTTATTGCTTTGCTGAATTCCAGTAAACAATTTGGGTGAAATCATTTGTGACTAAGTATGCTCATTTAGGTCAAAAGCAAAATTTGTAATAATTTAAAAAACAATCCCTAGTCTGTGAAATCACTGTAGAAAAAACAAATGAAGTATTTCAATAAATCAGTAAACAGAACTGTTTGCAAATTATAAATACAAAAATGAGTTTGCATGCATCATTAGCTGCCTTCTGTACTATAGAATGTCACTTGTCAGTCTGTGCAGGAAGGCATCTGAAGGTTTAATTTACATTCAATCTTGTAAACCAGTACAGAGAAGCAGGAGATTGCTTGTGTAAGTCTTATCATGTTGGCATGCAGAGGGCTGTATATTTTTGGAATTCACTACCCTATTTTGCTTATTGATGCTCAGTGTTGTTTCTACTCTTGAATATATTCAAGGCAGATCAATAAATTATGGGCTATCAAGGAGTCGTAGTAGTGGGAATTAGCTGGGAAAGTGAAGTTACATAAATGTTCAACTGTAACCTTTTTGAATGGCAGAGCTGGTTCAACAGGACAGTAACTTATGTTCTCTCTCTGTATTGTTTTGCATTTATTAATTTTGAAGTTTATCTTTCAAGGAAAATTATTGGTTTTAATTTGACAACCATGGAGTCAGCAGATCTAATTATATACGATTATAGATACTTGAGAGGTGACTGCACTATATTCTGTGATGCTGTATAATTTAAACAAGGGCTGACTTTAGTTTATATGCCTAATACTGTATATCATTATCCAGAATGTGTTTGAGAGTCAGATTGCATTTTCAAGAAGTTGTTTTGAAGCATAATATTAAGGATTGTCAGAAAGTAACTCTATAGTATATTACAAAAAAATTGTTTCTT